TCTTTCAAAGTATTCAGATATTCATGCTTGTATTTCTCGTACACTCATACAAGCACAATCATATACGTGAACATCACCCACTTGGGGGATAACTTTTAATTAAAAACTTTAATAAAATGTGTCAGGTTAGATGCTAAAATTGTTTAGGTGTACTACGGTAAGTATGTAACGTATTTATACATGTATGTACATTCACATGCACACACATTCATACACACACACACACACACACACACACACACACACACACACAAATATTTTATTTATTTATTTTTTTTTTTTCTTAGGGGCGTAGTGGTAGCGCACTGCCAACTAATGTTGCCGTACAACATTCGGATAAAACCATCCCGAAGCCGTTTTCGCATTACTGTCAGATGGATCCTTCTGAGTCGTTGATCTCCATCATATCATCCTCTGTCCCCCGTTCTCGCATGAGATTAAGAGTTTAGATTTTGTTATCGTGTAACTTTATACTGAAGCATGTCGTGCAAAAAGCTACCGCATTCTTTCCGTTTCCGTCACCATGGCCGCTAGCAGATTATCTAGTTTGATTAGTGTAGCGAAAACTGTGTGTTGTGCAGCGATGTTCATGTCTAAGAACGGATCGCAAGTGTTATCCACCCGTAAGTTAAAACGGCAGAAAAAACTCTAGGAACTTGTGTGACCTGTTTTGGTCCTGGTTTTGTACAAAGTGCTTGCGGTTGACAACGCTTCATCCGCGACGTTAATTTGACATTTAAATGTTCTCTGCGGTATCTGAGATTAATACGAAATTGAGCACGATGCGCATCGAGCTCTTTTTCCGGCAGTCGGAGCGTACTTCGCTCCATCGCCAGTATCGCTTCACTTCTTTCGACGGCTAGCTTTAATGTGTACTGATGTAGCCAGCTGCTTATCCGACTTGGGCTATGATTTGCAACGATTTGTATTAGTGGAGTCCTCGTCTGCTTTACATACACGCGTTTATGCATGTATGAATGTATATATTAAGCTGTGTGTATATATATGTATTCAGTCTATATTCATGCGAAAATTCAAAAACAAAACAAAAAATATTCTAATTAATATTACTCAGGCATACTGTCACCTAAAAGTGTAAAAGGCGTGACCGACATTTTTTTTTCTAATACGTCTTTTAGTTTTCATTGTTTTATTGCAATTTACATTCCAATAGCAGATGGAATTGCTGTGAATAATCCTAATAAAAACTGCCGACATATATCGTTTAGAATAATTTCTTGTCGTCCCTACACACAAGTAAAACACAAAAAGCTTTGCTTAGACTTAAAGCTGAAAATTGCGCCCACTTTCTCTCTCTTTTTTTTACTTTATTATATATATAAATATTTTTTATATTTCATTAGTCCATATAAGCACGACGGCGGGATTTTGGACACATTCAATGTGAAAATGGGAATTCCTCGAACAGCAAGAAACACATATGAAGTCTCATTAATATTTTCTAATTTGCAAAGTTTTGCTTCGATAATTTTGTTTGACGACATTACTCACCTCAATTTGGTCAGTTACTGCTAGCATCGATCCAGGTAAGGTTTTAACCGATTGTAACCCCGGGGTTTCGGATATGATTTCACCACTGGTAGAAAAAATGCCTCCAGGTATTCATTTTTAACGTTTACTCGACCCATTTGCGGGTATACACAAATTAAATACCAGTCCAAGCATTACAGATGCAATTATATATCTAGTATTCGATGTTTGGCGTAAAGTTATTACGATTTCTAATACGCCTTTGAACATCAATCCCAAGTTAATCGCACTCTACATACGCTAAGGTTTAGTTTCAGTTTGGCGGCAGAATAATAGCAAAAGACATCAGTCGTAAATGGATCATATTGGAAATTCCCCGCGGATTTTTCCGCGATGGCGAACTCCTTTTTGTAGCCTGCTCTTTCCAAATGGTTCCCAACTGTCATGTGGTTGATGTTTAGTGCCTGTTGCTGTGTCCTGACAGCTTGCGTGCTGGCCCTGCTCCCTCAGTTGCAAAACTTGATCGACTTTTTCAGTGACTGCGCGGTGCATCTTTGACATCGAAATTTCTGGAACGAAATGGAGCAAACCACTTCTTCGTCCTTCGTTCACTTGCAGCATTCCTACCGTACACTTCATAAGTTGTTTTTTTGCTGCCGCGGATCGTCGCAGCAACACAATTAACAAAACAATTACAGTTCCACCTTTATCAACATTTCCCCGGTTGTGTGTATTGCCAAGTATTACCAATGTAATGATGAAATGAACATATGCTTCTCTTTTGACGATTTCAAAAATAAATTTTAAATTTTAAATCCTTCACTTGGATTTTACACTAGTTAAGGGCTAATTAGTTGCAGTTAATATAGCGCAGATTTAGTGACAGTATAAGTACATGCGGCGCGCGTTACCATGCTGAGAGATTTTTACTTATCATGTTTTGTGATAAATGCAAACGTATGGCTGAAATGTATGGCTGTTGTCATGGTTATGTTAAATTCCAAGATTTCATTACAAAACTCTTGCAAAAATTTACAAAAATTGTTTTGATTATCAACTGTTTTGCGAACGATTTCAATAGTTGCTGTTTACGATACCACTTAACATAAAATATCGTTTAATAGATGAGTGTTTCGCTCATTAGTAAAAAAGAAAAGATCTGAAAGGATTTACTTGAAAAATATTTACATAATTAAAAATTTCGCATTTTTTTTTACATTCTTTAGTAATGTTGCCATAAATTTTTTGCATTCATCATTAAATGTGAAATATAGATGATGCTTGGCAGATTCAGTACAATCGGGTTAGTCATTACGGGCGAAACGAAATGCAATTCAATGCTAAATACATGCTGGGGAATATGGGAACGTGGGAATATTGGTAATGGGGATATTTTGACGTGCCTACCTATTGACTGCAAACAAGTTCAGTTGCTTGCTTATCGATAACGCAGTCAGGATCATCGATTCGCGCGAAAGAATCTCACGAGGGAATTTCGTGGAGCGCGTAGAAATATCGCAAAAGTGAATCGCATAAAATTATCTTAAAATATAAAGACAAATATCGAAATGTTGCGACTGTGTTATCTGTACTGCGTTCGCCTGTCGTCTGTCAATAGCCCAAAACTAGATTCAACAGCAAAACGTTTTCTTAATATCTTGCCTTCTCTTTGCTTGCATTGACTTAGATAGATTGAGAAAGAGCAGAAATTTCATTTATGTTTTTGATTTTCTTCTTCAGTTTAGTGGCTAAATCAAATTTCCCTCTGTCCGTTTAGCTGTTCGGTCATCTATGCTTGCATTTTTTTTCTATTTTGCATTCTTCTTCTATTTTTGCATTTCTCAAGTCAAAGGAAACCTGGCAGACGAAAACGTGTAAAAAATGTTTTCCTTTTATTTTGTTTTGTTGAGTCTTCTATGAAAAACTAAAGAGTTCAATGTTGCAATATAGCCTTACAATTATGGGCCGTTGAACTGAATAATTGCCAAGTTACAACCTCAGCAGAGATTTCTAAATTTTCTGCAAGATCAATTTTACTCAGCCCCACAACAAAGAGCTTCGGCACAGTATCGACAACGAAATTATTGGAATAATTTATCAAAAAAAAGTATATTGTGTGTGTGTAGTCTATATTTTGTTACGAAACAACCGTGATATAATCAGCGCATAACGACTCTGCTTAGTAGAGAGGTCGACATATGTTGAAATAACGTTTCTTTAAAAAATATTCGTCTTGATGTTGGCGTTCATCTTCATTGCTTAGATTGAATTTCCTGCTCGAAATCTTAAGTGAAACGTTTAAGTGCCGCGTGCGTAAGTACCGTTGAAACACTTTACGTGAAAGAGAAATCACAAAAAGGATACAGGCGTGACTGACTGGCGGTGCATTTTAGTGCTTAAATCTAATTTTTGACATTTTAACTGAAATCGACAGAAAAAGTAAAAAATGACAACGTAATAATGCAATAATAATAATAAAAAAAAAAAAGAACCGTAAAAATTGTACGCAATTGTGTTGTTGTACGATATAAGTATGTATATCTACAGTATTTACGTAGATGTTATATAAATGAACTTTTTACATTTAATACAGAGTGACAGTAGAAGAGTCAATAAAAGCATAATTAAATTTTGATATCAAAAGCAAAACTTGAATTTACTTACGTATAATAAATTCTATTAGGAACAAAGAGTAGAGAAGAGAGCATATCGTCAGTAAAAAGAATACTAAAGAAGTGAACGAAGCAATTAAGATAAATTTCTCTTTCTATTGCGTTAACAATTAATTTTATTTTTCAAAACAATTTAGTTTCTAGCTACGGCGCGCTTACATCAAATACCCTCGAAATTTTCTATACCGTTCACGTTCGCAATCTTGCGTTTCCATAAACACCTCTAAACACTACGAGATGATATTTTCTACAAAATTTTTCTTCTCCCTTTGCCGTTGTATTGCCGCTTGAATGCCAAGAAAATTTTGTTCAGAGACTAAGATGAGAAGATCATCTAAAATCTAAAGGCCAAAGGTCAGCAGCCAGAAGACTTCATTAGCTACTTCGTTCAGACTCGCAACGCAATCGATAGAATAAACGCATTTCATAGAAGAGTATCCTTCAGTCATCATTTGGCCCTATGGCATACCATTATGGGGAACAACGAAAAGTATTTATTGAATACTTTTGCGCTGTCGTTAAAGTAGTGAAGAGGATTCCTTATAACAGTACACGAAAGCTCTCTTTACGTATTTAGAAAGATTCGGTTTACCATAGGTGTCTTTGAGAGGATGGTAAAGACCGGAAGCGACAAAGAATATTGTGCTGTAATAACGATCGACGTTGAAAATGCCTTCGATACGAGTGGCTGCAAATGCATCAGAATAGAGTTAATTTTACTAACCGAAGGATTAATTGATTCCGTACGCACCATGAATGGCGATTCGTGCATGCTAGTGGTACGGGTAAATAGTAAGTATTGCTGAAGATTGTTGTTTCCGCGTATCACGAAAAAAAAATTCGCACATACGCTTATTAAAAAACTCACAAAATCATATGCATGACATAGGGAAAGAATGCGGTGAAGGGAAGTGTGTGTGCATCACACGCTGTTTTCGTGACTTAGCCCTTTCACGGCTTGCTATAATTGGCTAGTCACTATGGATGTACGTTCAATTAAGATTTCAATCGATTACGACAGGCAACGTGCCACTGCATTGATTGAACAGTTAACCGTCGCTATACACGGAAAAGAAATTTTACTTTTGCCAGTATTTGTTCAATTCGCGATCATTAATGGTGAGTTATGCAGTCGTCCATTAAACTATAATCGATGGCTAGATTTTTCGGTATTTATTTTCGCTTTGTGGAGAATGAAGAAGAAGTTAAGCTGAGTTTAATCATTCCATCGGCCGTGTCTAATCGACATTACGCAAAACAGCCATTACTGTTAAAAAAAAAAAAAAAAAAAAAAATTAATCGGAAAACCGTTTTTTTCTTCAAAACCTTAATATAAATTAAAATCATAGTGATTGGGCATGATCTGCGATCAGTTTGACATCCGTTTGCATAATTCGCCAGAAATGGCGGTTTGCCAAATTAGCTTAATCTCCTAACTTTTTCACTTCTCAATTTTAGAAGTGATTGGATAGTTGCAATGAATCGAAGCGAGATTTTCTGTGATAGGAAGGGATTTGTTTTTTTTTTTTTATTTATTTTTTGAAAGAATAAAAAGCTTTGTCCTTTTTTGTTGCTGCCACAACGAACATTGCGACCTTTGTTATGATAACACTTTTCATACTATTATGGCGCATCAGGTTGACAGCGCGTAAACAAAGGAATTGAAGTAACAGTAAAGCGTTTACAAAACAGGCCCAGCAGTGGGGCAACGGTAGCAACATTGCATACGTCGAGAAGAACAAAACAAACCAATTTCCTATAGATTGAAATTTAAAATTGTATATATATATATACATATATATATATATATATATATATATGTGTGTGTGTAAATGAACAAAATGAAAACTTTTGCTGTATACATATTCGGGCTCATGTATTGAAAGACAAACATGACTTTATGAATAGCGGTCCTGAGGAATGGCAGACAAAATAAAAGTTCATTAAATATTACAGAACGTAAAACTGGTACAAAAACTGGGAATGCATACACACTATATAAGAATTATTATAAACTAAGGGAAAGAACATAAGCGAAAGAGAAAAATAGAAGATTTTAAATGACAAGAAGAGAAATTCTGGTTTTCCTTCGAGAAAAAAGATTTTGCAGACATAATGCAACCAACTCATAAATTATGAACATATTACGGTAAATATGAAAAACTTTAAGAAACTTAAATTTGATTAAAGTCGACTTTTGAATACCCAACGCATTAGAATTTTTAACATCCATCTCAAACTACTAATAATAATAATTTAAAAAATTTCACAAAACTTACTGAGACATTTCAACCGACTTTCTAAGCGAACATATTACCTTACGTTTACGATCTCATTATAATTACCGGCAGCTGTACCTATGATGTAAATAACAAAAGTAGTAATATTACTAGCAGTAGTGTTATTTAAGTTAGCAATGATAATACCGCGCGCGCGATTTGATGGCGTTCACTATGTGATGTCTCTTGGCTTTAAGTAAAAGCATAAAACTGCTTGTTGGTATGAAGGAAAAACGTTCAAGAAAGTCATTTAATGAGAAAAAAAAAAAAAAACCGAAAACTAAAAACAAAGAAAAAAATAAATAAATAAAAGTAAACCAACGAATGAGAAGATCTTCTTCGTCAGAATGTCATGGAAAATTGCCAGCGACACCGTTTTGCTCTCTCTGGTGCGGCATATATACTCACATGATGACGATGATGACTATAAGTGGTACAATTCAAATGCATCCGTGTTGGTGTATGTGTTTGTATGGATACAAATAAGTAGGTTGATGGTTGTTGTCTTGAGTAGTATGCTATGTTAACTTGCCGTGTGTAGGTGTGGGTTGATGTGAGAGGTAAAGTCGGCGGTTGGATAGTTGTGTAAACAATAGCAGAGTTTATGTTGTTTTAGTTTTAGTTATGTGTATGTATGTACGTATATATATATGATGTATATTTGATGTATGTATACATCTTATATATTAGTGCATATATATATTATTTAAAAATTTAAATGCTTGGTACCATCGTACTTGCATAAGTACAAGTATGTATGTATGTATGTATGTATGTATGTATGTATGTATGTATGTA